ATATTTCCTAGGATATTTCATTTTTTTCTGGGAGAGGGCTAGATGATAACTTCCCACAATAGGATGTGGGCCAGCGGGTTATTTTATAGAATGCAGCAGGTAGAAGATATCCACCGATTCTTATCTTACCCAAGTTCTCGTTCCTTTGGATTTCATCCTAAGGTGTGAGACCCACCTGTTAAGATCATCTCTCCAAGGAAACTCCAGCGATAAGTAATCTCAGGAGGACTGGCAGAAACCAAAAGGGGCAACTGGGCAGACCCATGCTCCACAGCTTGCACTAGGTGGGTCTGCTCAGGTGAGAACTCTGGAGGAACTGTGTTGAAAGAAATGAAGGCACATATTTGGAAGCCAGGCCCACAGATACTTAAACAGCCTCAGGATTGCTAATAGAGACATTCCCCTTTCTGGCTCATTGATTTACAGGTGGTCCTCGAATTATGACCAATAAGGATCAGAAAATTTGCTGTTAGTAGTGTTTAGGTAGGAAGCGAGACATCACATGACTGAAACTTGTGACTTCCTGCCAGGTTCCCCCTTGACTTCCTTGCCTTCAGAGTCTGGCAGGGAAGGTCACAAATGGTGACCAGAAGACCAGATGCTGCAACTGGTCACAATTGCGAGCTGGTTGCCAAGCAGCGGGATCATGGTCGCATGACTACAGGTATGGAGCAGCAGTCATAAGTGCAAGGACCAGGCATAAGTCACTTTATTCCAGTGCCGTCATAGCTTCGAATTGTTGCTTAGTGAACGGTCATAAATTGAGTGTCAACCCTGAAGCCATTTTTGACAGCTCCAGTGGAGCTGAGGGATAGGGAGGGGGATTTGAGATCGTTGGGATTCTGTAGCCAAAATATGATGATTTCTCTTGGGAACCAAGGACATTCTCACACCTCGTTGGAGGAAGGAGGAGTGATGTCACCAGGCAACCAGACAGAGCCCTGACTGGATCGTGTGAGTTATTGTTTTGAGAAAGTGGGAAAACTTTTACTTTTAATTAGGTGAAAACCACGGGAACCTTTAGAGCCCGTTTTCCCAAGATCTGTGCCAATATGATATTTCCAATAAAGCTATTCTTTGAGGAATCTACCTGCCTCGGAGATTTCTATCCATGTATTATCCTAGTAATCAAACATCATTTTTAAGGCAGCGGAATGCCAGTGTCCACCGCAAACTCTGCAGGTCTATTCAGGGATTGGTGTTATAGAATCTTAAATATACATAACAAATGCCAGTTAACATTCCAATTGGCTCATAAAATGATCCAGAGGAACACATTACAATTTTATTATTGAAGCACAAACTATATTAACCTGCCTGAACAGGACACTTTTAAGATCAGTTGTAGGGAAGGATTGATAATACTTATTTATTAATTAAACAATTTTGCATAGTGTCCAGGAGAATGGTAGGATGCTGGGTTGGAGGGGGGTTTAGCAAGCCCACGTTCAAGGCCCGAGTGCTGCCCTGGGGAAGTGTTGAGTTCCCATCCTTCACTCCAGCTCCTGCCAGAGACATGAAAGGTACCCTCAATTGGGCATCTCCTGGGCAACAATGATGTCACCAGCTAATCCTTTCAACCCAGAAGGACCTTGTGGCAGAGAAGAGCAACCACGATGATTAGGGGACTGGAGACTAAAACATAGGAAGAGCAGTTACAGGAACTGGGCATGGCTAGTCCAATGAAGAGAAGGATCAGGGGAGACATGATAGCAGTCTTCCAATATTTGAGGGGCTGTCACAGAGAGGAGGGGGGTCAAGCAGTGGTGAAATTCAATTTTTATTACTACCGGTTCTGTGGGTGTGGCTTGGTGGGCATGGCAGGGGAAGGATATTGCAAAGGCTCCATTCCCACCCACTCTGGGGACAGCCAGAGGTGGTATTTGCTGGTTCTCCGAACTACTCAAAATTTCCGCTACCAGTTCTACCAGTATCAGAACCTACCAGTATCAGAACCTGCTAAATTTCACCCCTGGGGTCAAGCTATTTTCCAAGGTACCTGAAGGCTAGACAAAGAATAATGGATAAAAACTGATCAAGGGGAGATTCAATCTAGAAATAAGGAGAAATTTTCTGACAGTGAGAACAAACAAGGGAGGAGGAGGGGGGGGTGGAATGGAGCTGGCAGACAGACAGAAACAGAGCTTGGGCCATCCGTCAGCCCTCAGATGGAGAGTCAACATCCCCCAGGTCTGGAGGTGGCTGATGAGGAAGAGGAGGAACAGCTGGGCCCAGTGCCTGATGCACAGCTGCACAAGAAGGCAGAGGAGAGGAGAGCAGGTGGAAATCTATGGGCCGATCCTGGGGAAGGAAGAGCCACTGCTGCTAATGAGGCCCCACTCTAGCTCTGGGGATAATAGACAGGGGGCAGAGATGAACAGGTATGGCAGACAACTATTCATCTGCTTGCTGGACAGACTTGTTCGCCTGCGTTGAGAGAGAAACTTTTTTTGCCTGGGCTGTTGGCACTCCTAATAAATCTTTTGAGTTCACATCAGAGGGATTGTCGTGTTTGGGGAGCTGGGTCAGAACACCCTAGTTGATGGTACACACAGCAGGCTTCCTCTGCCTGACCTCATGGGATGGGTAAGTAGGGAGAGGTGCCCTCAGGCAGCCCGCTCCCATGCAACGAAGGGCTTTAAAGATTTACAGCAACAGTTTGGATTGTACCCAGAGGCAAGCTGGCGACAGATGCAGTGGAGCAGAGGTGTAACATGTGCTGTTCTGGGAGCACACACAACCGCCTGCATTCTGGGCCAGCTGAACAAATCCGTTGAACAAAAAGCTTCATTCTCAGAGCTCAACAAACGAACAGCAGTGAAGGGACGTTTCCATACTTACATAGCACCGTAAGCTGATAGAAGGTGTTCACACCTTCGGAGAGAACAGAGCTGTAGGCATAGCATTCCACCCTCTTCCCGTGATCTGCAGATGACACCACCAGAGTCACCCTTTCGGAAGCGGAGAATCCTCCGTATTCTGCTTTCCTCTGCCCTAAATTGGTGCCGACCAGCCTGAAGGCGAGAACGCATGAAGATTATCACGGCACAACTTAATGTTTCTGACAAGAGTCCAGAGATGAACCTCTACATTCAGAGACAATCTACTGACATAGCTCAGCTGCCGGGGATGAGCAAGAGACAAGACCTGATGCCTTCATAGCCCCACTCGCACGTTTTCTGACAGGCCTACATCATGCTGCTGTCAGAAACAGAAAGCGCGACCGAGTGAAGTTTGGGGACTGATTCAGCTGTCCAGTTCTTCTGTTGATGTTACAGCCGAAGCCTGGGGAAGTCGGAAGCCTGATGGGTCAGGACAGAGGAACAATGGTGGAAATACGAAGTGACAGCTGAGGAAGGTTTTCTGTACAGCGAAGACGATCTCCTTCTCCTTCTCCTTCGCGGGTTTTGTGTGACATTGTGGGAAGACACATGACCCAAATGGGGTCTCCAGTATGCAGCCACGACGCATGCTGAAGAAAGCATCTGGCATATCTAAGGGGGTCCTCAAAACTTAATCTGGAGGGAATGTAGAAAGCTTTCCCTCTAACAGCAACCTTTCTCTTAATACGAGAGGACAGATTCTTGATTTGATGCAACCAAGGGTGTCCACAGGGTGTGGTCAAGAAAGTCAAGAGGCAATTGTGATGGTGCAATTGAAGCTCCAGCTGCAACACACATAGCAAAACAGGCACAGCTTCCATCGCACCAATACATCTGCCCTCCTGAACTTTCTTTTTACTCTACCCTGCAAACAACCCCGGATGCAAAATTAATCTTGAGACTCCACAGGCGATCCAGTAATTACAGAAAAGAGCCCCAAACCCAGTGACTTGATGCTACTGGAAGAACCCAAAAGGAATGACCTTCATATGCTACGCCTGAGTGATTTAAGAGCCCTGGTGGCACAGTAGTTAGAAAGCAATATCGTAGGCTGACTCTGCCGACTGCCAGGAGTTCGATCCTGACCGGTCCAAGGTTGACTCAGTCTTCCATCCTTCTGTAGTCGCTAAAACGAGGATCCAGATTGTCGGGGGCCAATAGGCTGACTCTATAGACCGCTTAGAGAGGGCTGTAAAGCACTGTGAGGCTGTGTATATGTCTAAGGGCTATTGAAGCTTGGCAGAAAGAGGCAAAATCTACCAAGACAGCAAGAGAAGCTTGAAGAAGGGGGTCATCGGAAGAATTGCTCACCTTTTCCCATCTTGGAGCCAAGTGAGACGAGCAGGAGGGTTGCTGCTGCCTGATTTGCAGGTCAGGGTCACCGATTGGCCACGTCTCACCTTTTCGTCTGTCGCCGTAATGGTGGCATGCAGAGGTGGAACTAGGGAGAGAAAGAACACTTCAGATTTGCACGATCACTCCCTATCCATCATCTTTCACATTCGGCTCCTATTTTTCCCACTTACAGTGCACTTCACAACTCTTGGGAACATAACGTTCAGGGGAGCAGAAAATGCAGTGCAGCTTGTTTCAATCGATTGATGTTTTGTATGTGAAAACCCTGCGTGGAGGAGTCCCGGGTGCGCTCTGAACTTGGTTGTTTTCTTGCAGACATTTTCATTACCCAAATTAGGTGGCTCAGGGGCTAAGACGCTGAGCTTGTCAATCAGAAGGATGGCAGTTCAGCGGTTCGAATCCCTAGCACCACGTAACGGAGTGAGCTCTCTTTACTTGTCCCAGCTTCTGCCAACCTCGCAGTCCGAAAGCATATCAAAATGCAAGTAGAAAAATAGGAGCCACCTTTGATGGGAAGGTAATAGCGTTATGTGCACCTTTGGCTTTGAGTCATGCCAGCCACAGGGCACAGAGACATCTTCGGACAGTGCTGGCTCTTCAGCTTTGAAACGCCCGCTAGAGTCGGGAACAACTAGCACATGTGTGCGAGGGGAGCCTTTACCTATCAGTGCTAGTGTAACTCATTCCAGCCTGGAACTACAAATATTCTCGTTTATTAGATAGCACAGAGAAAGACAAATTCCCTCATTTAGTTTTCTCCATAACATACTAGTTTTCAATGCACTTCAATGCCCACTTCTTCTGGACTCACTATGGATCTGCATCCCTGATGTGTCTTCTTGAAACATTGTACTACGAGTTACCCAACCCCAATTTCGTCTAGTGCAGGGTCGTTCAATTTTGGTCAATTTTAAAAGATGCATGGACTTCAACTCCCAGAATTCCCCAGCCAACAAGCCCCACATACATTCACACTGTTACCTCATTGGGTAAAGTCTGCAGCAAACAGCCAATCTCGGAGAGCACTAAGAATTCTGTACCAATCTGTGCATCCGTCTTTTTCTTTCTCTCTCTCTCATGTTTTTTTCTTTAACATGTTTACTTAGTGAACAGTATATTGTCTTGTGGTTAATTTACTTTATACATAATACTTATAACAATAATAATACTATTTAAGTAGACATAGTAGTACTCTTCCAACTTCTAACGATTATGTGTACTTAGTAATTTTAGTACTTTATATCTATGTAACAATATGCATAATAATATTTCCCCAATTTCTAATTTTTACCTCTGTTTTCTCATTTTTAATGAAATAAATCCCACATTAAAAGGTATTCTATATCTATCCATCATCTCGTGCCCTTTTTCATATTTCAACTCTTAATGACTTTCTGAGTAATCTTACAACTTCTAACATTTACGTATACATACTAATTATAGTAAGTTATGTTGTGTGACTGTATGCATAATATTTTCCCAGTTTCTAATGTCTACCTCTTTTTTCTAATCTTTAATAAGACAATTCCCATATTAAAAGGTATTCTATATCTATCCATCTTTCTCTGTCTCTCCATCCCTCCACTCACCCTCTGTTCTGTCCCGTGATTCTAATGAATATGCAGACACAGGCTTGGCTGTCTGCCATGACTAATGACAGAGATAAAGCCACCCCTTGGCTAGGAGCCTAGAACGCTATCTTCAAGAAACCAAGATTAGGCTTACAGAATGCTTTCTCAACGGCTAGCAAAGTGGACTGTTGTTTCCTGCAAAGATTCCCCTCCCATCGCTCCACCTATAAGCTCTTTGGGAGGGGCCGCAACCGTAGCCGCCTGTCCCTATTTCCTTCTATGACGTCTTCTCCACAGCTGCTCCCTTCTGTTCTCAGCTCTACGCACACATAAATCAGGGAGACTCTCCCTCTGTTCCTCCTCACTGCTCCCTGACTCAGATGCCATCTGGTGGCCAACAGGCCTCTCTAGTCCCTGCTCTGACTCCAAACACCCTTCAGAGTCTTCTTCATCCTCCAGAGCAGTCCCATAATGGTAATCGCTGTCAGAGTCCACCAACAGCTCAGCCGGCCACTGCTGGGCCACAACACCCTCTTAGAACTCCCATTCTGAGTGTGTGTACATGTGCGGTTGTGCGCGGGCACCCCATGCACTGAATTGTAACTTACACTGGACCAGCAAACTAGTAGATGCAGTGATTGGGGGAGTGCTGGGAGGACCAGTGGCATTGCAACGGTAGGTTGCCATATTGTCACTGGGAGACGTGATCAAGACCAACTCCTTGGAAATGATATTCCCAGATGAGGCTGAAGATGCTCCTTCCCTTACTAACTTGATGTCCTGTGGAAGCAATGCATATTACAATAAGCATAATGGAAAGGTAGCAGTTAAGACACTGTTAAGCTGACTCTCAGCAGGCTCAGATCAAATAAATCAACTCTGAAAAAGAGGCCGCTGTTACATATAAGTTGGATTGACAAAATCAGAAATGAGGAGGTGATAAGCCGCCTGGGAGATCATCAAAACCATAAAAATAGTGAAAGTTGGAATATATTGGACATGTGACATGGCATCTGGAAAAATACGACGCACTCCACTTAATCCCCCAGAGAAAGATTGAAGGCAAACGAGATCCAGGCCGAAGAAGAACATTATGGCTTCAAAATCTAAGGGACTGGTTTGGACGAAACTCAGCAGCACTTTTTCGTGTGGCTGTTGATAAAAATAGGATCGCTAACCCGATCGCCAATGTCCAATGGTGGATATGGAAGAAGAAGAAGAAGAAGAAGAAGGAGAAGAAGAAGGAGAAGGAGAAGGAGAAGGAGAAGGAGAAGGAGAAG